ATTGGATTAAGGTCCGGAATTTGACTCAGTCATTCCAAAACATTAACATTGTTCTTCTATTACCATTAAAGAAGCCATGTGCTTGGGGTCATTGTCTTGCTGCATGACCCACTTTCTCTTGAGATTCAGTTCTCAGACAGATGTCCTGACATTTTCCTTCAGAATTTGCTGGTATAATTCAGAATTCATTGTTCCATCAATGATGGCAAGCCGTCCTGGAGCAGATGCAGCAAAACAGGCCCAAACCATGATACTACCACCACCATGTTTCACAGATGGGATGAGGTTCTTATGCTGGAATGCAGTGTTTCCTTTCTCCAAACATAATGCTTCTCATTTAAACCAAAATGTTCTATTTTGGTCTCATCCTTCCACAATACATTTCTCCAGTATTCCTCTGGCTTGTCCACATGATCTTTAGCAAATTGCAGATGGGCAGCAATGTTTTTGGAGAGCAGTGGCTTTCTTCTTGCGACTTGCACACCATGGTTGTTCAGTGTTCTCCTGATGATGGGCTCATACACATTAATATTAGCCAATGTGAGAAAGGCCTTTAGTTGCTTACAAGTTAGCCTGCAGTCCTTTGAAACCTAGTGGACTTTTACATGTCTTGCTTTTAGAGTGTTCTTTGTTGGTGGAGCACTCCTGGGGAGGGTAACAGTGGTCTTGAATTTCCTCCATTTGTACACAATCTGTCTGACAGTGGACTGGTGGAGTCCAAACTCTTTAGAGATGGCTTTGAAACTTTTTCTGGCCTGATGAACAACACCGACTCTTTTTCTGGTCCTCAGAGATCTCATTTGTTTGTGCAATGATACACTTCCACAAACATGATCAAACTTTGATAGATCCCCGTTCTTGAAGTAAAACAGGGCACACACTGACACTGATTAAAAACACCTCTGAAAACAAAATCCAAAACTACATGGCCCTGTGTGAAACAGTGTTTGCCCCCTAAACCTAATAACTGGTTGGGCCACCCTTAGCAGCAACAACTGCAATCAAGCGTTTGCGATAACTTGCAATGAGTCGGTTACAGCGCTGTGGAGGAATTTTGGTCCACTCATCTATGCAGAATTGTTGTAATTCAGCCACATTGGATGGTTTTCGAGCATGAACCGCCTTTTTAAGGTCATGCCACAGCATCTCAATAGGATTCAGGTCAGGACTTTGACTACGCCACTCCAAAGTCTTCATTTTGTTCTTCTTCAGCCATTCAGAGGTAGACTTCCTGGTGTGTTTTGGATCATTGTCCTGCTGCAGAACCCAAGTTCGCTTCAGCTTGAGGTCACGAACAGATGGCCGGACATTCTCCTTCAGGATTTTTTGGTAAACAGCAGAATTCATGGTTCCATTTATCACAGCAAGTCTTCCAGGTCCTGAAGCAGCAAAACAGCCCCAGATCATCACACTACCACCACCATATTTTACTGGTGTGATAAACCACAGTTTTAACAGGGGGGCAAACTCTTCTTCACACAGGGCCACGTAGTTTTGGATTTTGTTTTCCCTTAATAATAAAAACCTTCATTTAAAAACTGCATGTGTTTACTTTGACTAATATTTAAATTAATTTGATGATCTGAAACATTAAAGTGTGACAAACATGCAAAATAATAAGAAAAATATAGATGAAAATAAGAAATCAGGAAGGGGGCCAACACTTTTTCACACCACATATATATATATATATATACATATATATTTTTTTCTTCCCAAATAAACACTTCTTTTGAACTTTCTATTAATCAAAGAATCCTGTGAAAAAATCATCACAGCTTCAAAAAAATATTAAGCTGTACAACTGTTTTCAACAATGCCAACTATTGAAGAAAACGCGTCTAGAGCAGCAAATCAGCATATTGGAATGATTTCTGAAGGATCATGTGACACTGAAGACTGGAGTAATTATGCTGAAAATTCAGCTTTGCATTACAGAAATAAATTGTATTTTAAAGTATATTAAATAGAAAACAGTTATTTTCAATTGTAATAATATTTCACCATATTACATTTATTCTATTTTTGATCAAATAAATGCAGCTTTGTGATTATTGACTTTCAGAAACATTAACAAAATCTTAACCGACCTCAAACTGTTGAATGGTAGTGTATAAGACAAAGACAACAAATCACAATTCAGTATGCAAAAAGATAGTTCAAAAGTCTGACATTGCTAGTAACAATTTTTTTTATCATTTAATGCTTTTTATATTACATACGTTTTCACCGTAACAGTTTGAGTAAAAAGTTGATGCACTTTAAATGACATTTTTAGTTCTACGTTTTAAATATACTCTCAAAAGGTACCCAAAAGTATTAGTGGCTGATAAACTGTATCGCCTGTAACGCCGTCATCGTTAACAGTTCTGCCTAATACGGATAGAAGTCTCTCTAATAATCCGATAGACCTGTTAAAAAAAAGAATTTAAATGTATACAAAAAGTATTATAACGATTGCTTTTATATGATTAGTAATAGAAAGGCAAACATTATAATACTTTCTCGTTTGCTGTCAGCATTCAGCAAATACGGATTTACATCATTTTAACAAATCTTTGAATGACTAATGAAAATGTCATTTCACAAACTTTGCAAACTTAGTCGAATCCAGTTGTAAGATCTTGTGAAGTGTGCATGTGACCTGCATGATCGCGTGTTCTCTGCGTGACTTTCGGTCCGTGCAAATTGAATGCTTTAAACGTTAAATTCGTGATTTCAAATTATGCTGCGCTTTATGCATTTGCCCACTGTCATATTCATGTCATTTTCACTGTGTGCTGTATGTAAAATAAGTGTCACCTTGGCTTAATTTGAAAAAATATGATTCCCAATGCACACAAACTTCCCAGAATACTGAGTGCTCTGTTGGTTACAGTTTACTTCCTTTTTAATTATATTTTTATTAAATATTTATTTATGAAAAATACTTTGTCATCTAAAGTATAAGTATGTTTATTTTACAAATTTATTTTTTAATCCATTTTCAAATGATTTCAAATTTCTTAAATATTAATTAAAATAAATACAATTATATCTGCTTTATATCAGCCATTCTACTTTCCAAGATATCGGGATCGGCTGTCAAAAAACCCATATCGGTCGACCACTAGTGGCTGGGGCCGAATTAACTGCAGAACATTATTTAAAAAAAAAAAAAAGAAGTATGAGGGACTTCAATGCCATTGTAAGTTTTTAAGCTTACCCCCAGATCCTGTGCATGTATATACGAGTACATTTCTGGCCACTCTCTTCAGGATTTCCTGCTGGGCCTCTGGATTCTCCTCTTTCTCATAGAGCTCTTTGTCCACTTTAGGGAGACAGAACTAAGAGAGACAACAGGATGTTAGATGGAGATGTGTGTGAGAATAGACTGATATGAATCTGCATACACAACTAAAATCAAGCAGACATTTGAATTTTTAACAAAAACACTTTTAATATTTTTTTGCCATCTTTATTGACAAGATGATAGAGACATGACAAGAAATTATGTGAGCAGGACTTGCACCGTCCAAATCAGCTCAGTGCGTTTGAGAATGTGTGCTAACTGCTAAACCATGACTCACATCCCACAGGCAGTTCAAAACGTCAAATTTTTTTTTTTACATCCTTCTTCCTCTTCTCTGTCATTATATTCTGCGGTAATAAAACTACAGAGCAGCCAGAGTTTAAAGTCTCCCGCTACTGCTGCTGCTCCTCCTCCAGATGTGAGGAACATTACTGAGCCTGGAGCCAACCACATACACATTACAGTGTGATAAATATTTTGCTCCCACACAGCGCAGGTGGAATGAGAACCTGAGAGCCAAGCAATAAGGAAGAAACCTTTAACCATTGTGCATTGTTGTTTTAGTAGAATTTACATAGTAGTATAGTATTTATTGTCTTGTTTTATATTTTCAGGTTTTTTTATTTTAGTTTGAGTTTTAATATTTTTTTAATTATAATTTTATTTAGCTTTCATTTATTTACAATTTCCGTTTTAGTCATTTTAGTACTTCGAATTAAACTTTTGTATATCCGCTAGCTGCCAAAGCAATTTTTTTTTTTTACTTTATCATTCAATATTTATATTTGAGTTTTAGTTAACAATAACAACAACGGACTACTGAATCTCAACATGTCTGTTCTGATGTCTGTGAGTGTCACTAATAAGAGGAAAATCATCCGTCAGCAATTTAAGATGGAAAAATGAATAGGTGTATCTATTAATTCATCTGTGACTTGGTAGGAGTTAGACAGATGGCAACATGGACAGGTTGTACAACTTGCCCACATTCTCAAAACCAGCAACAGAACTAGATTGGGTCACCACTTGTTCTCTAACGCAAGATCTGGGCTCTGAGGCAAAACCTAGACAGTAAATAAAGGAACAAAAACGGAGAGAGAAATAGCGAGAAAGAATACCTCTTTTGAGGGGCTGGCAGGCTTGGAAATGATGGTCTTCCAGTAGGACCATATGAACATGAAGAAAAAGACGTGAAACACTAACAGATAAATAACTGCAAGAAAAACAGCATGAGGGAATTTTAGTAAAACAAATCATAATTCATACTTACTTGATAACATAATAAAAGCTGCTACTTCATAATATAAATGAGATGTTTTGTTCATTCTGGTGTGACAAAACATGTGACTAAGAACAACAGGAGGCCAGATTAGCCAACAGAAGGATTTGTTAACTGTTTTTGCAATATTGTGTTCTTGGCCACACTGGAGTTCCTCTTACCTTGCTCCTCTGTGTTGGAGATTGTGTCTGCAGAGAGAAACAAGCAAAGATCATTCAGCAATACCATCAAGAAAGAACAACTGGCCCAATTCACAAAGCCATCTGCTGAGTGCTGGGATACCGCTAATTCTATCTCAGCACCCTTCCAGTTTCCACCAGATCAGCCCACTAAGGCAAGAGCGCTGGGCGACTGGTACTGCCATCTGGCAGAGAGCTGTCAGAAAGAGCCTTGTGTCCATCATGGATGGAATACCCTGGTTGTCATGACGACTCAACAAGTGACTGACAGATGCATGTCGAGACGGCAGAGTCAGTGAAATCTCTGACAGTAGGAGTCATTTTTTAAAAGATTTTTTTTTTAATTAAATATTTATTTTCATAAAACATTCATTTTTTATTATTAAATATTTAAAAAAATGTTTAAATATTTTTTAAATAATATTTTATGAGAATGTAATTGGGGTTACAACCCTTGCTTCATTTGTGAAATTAAATGCGAAACAGAAGAAAACCGCAAAAGCTGATTTGAGATTTTACTTGCTACTCTCACTTGCTTATTAATTAACTATTTATTTTCATTAACTACAATTATTTTATTAAATATTTTAATAAATTATTAAATATTTTAATTTCTAAAAAGTACTTTCAAAGTCAAACTACGAAGGTTGTTTAAATGTGTACACCACATTTAAAGTCTATTCACTTTCCTTCATTTTTTTTCAACTTGGTTAATTTATCTCTCACTGGTGTTACAGTTTATTAATCTATGATTTATCACTGCTGAAATTAATATTTTATGAGAGTTTGTCATTGATGTCACAACTCTTGTTTCATCTGTTAAATAAAATAAAAAACAGAAAAAAAATCAAGTTAATTTGAGATTTTCCCTGCAACTCTCATGCAGTCATGAGGTTATCACATCAGATTTGAGACTCTACAAACTTTTACGGCAAAAAGGAGGGGAGGGGGGGGGGATCAATAAGCACAGATTCACAATATATCACTGCACTTTACTAGGGAAATAAATGGACCCCAACACCCAATGAAATGAGTATTTTTAGAAACAGATGAAGTAATAACTGGGTGGAACTACAGTGAGTGTAGAGCTCACTGTGAAGTGGTTAACAACAGCTGAAGTTAAAGACTTCAGCAGCACAGATGTGTATGTCATTCATGTTTCACACTTTTATATACAAAATATTAATAATCCCTTTTAGCTTTGTTCGCTTAAATGGAAATGTTACCCATAAAATGCAAAAATGCTTAAATTTTTTTTTATTTAGGGTTAATTATCCCAAACTTAAAATAATCCTGCAGTGGGACAATGGAATTTTTAAAAGCATAAATATTCCATATTTATTTAATCAAGTAATGAGATTATCAGCATATACGATAATTAAGTTATACATTTTCAATACAGGGCAAAAAAAAAGAAGTATAGCATATCCCACTAAATGACACTGCTTGACATGAACAACTACTTATGTGACTAATGAAGAACAAAACAGTTTATTAGCCAGAAATTCTCATGACAAGACATACTTTGCGGTCTAATTAAGAGAAAGTTAATAAGAGAACGTTCTTTTCAGTAAGAAAGCATCTCTAATCTGCTCTTTTAAGTATCAAGCATCTCGATCAGTTTAACAGCTGGATTTAATCGCTCGAACTTGAACGAACACTGCATACAATAATTGATATCAAAACACAACTTTATAAACAATTCATGACATTCGACATGAATTACGCACGAGTAGTATACAGAGAAACGGAGTTGAATTTCGGTAACGTTACATAATCTGGTACCAGTCAGTTACTGACACTTCCTGCCCAAACCACTGCAACAACTAACCAGCAACTTTTATCTGCTGTGCTCCATTCATTCAAACAAGTCAACTTAGGTCGACACTTACATATACAGAGCTCCACCACGTAAGCGTAGTAGGACCAGCACACGACCAGGTTGATAAAAATCACAGGTATCCAGGATAAGCCCCGCTGACAGCATTGTACCGCATGAGAGGGCGCCATCTTTAATCCGACCCTCGGAAAGGGTGTCGGTGACGTCACGGCTCGAGTCCGATCTATGCGCGCGGGGAAAAACAAAGACCTGCTTCACACCAGCAGCACATTAATTCCCCATTATCGGACAATGCTCTCCAATGCTCTCCAATTAATAATACGATAAACGCAGAGTTTCATTCATATGTAGTTATGTGTTTGTCTTATTATGCTATAAATGAGCCTTAAAGGAACAGTACGCTCAAATTTAAATCAGCGCTCATCTTTGCCATTCTGCCTTACATCTTATCGGACTTAACTTGAATTATTTTATTTCCAATCTTATAGTTATAATAAACGAATAATGTTTAATTTGTTTATCTATATTTTAATGTTTCTTTTTTAATATCGTAAAGTATGTTCCATTCTGATTTTAATTCAATTGTATTTTTTATGTTCAGAAGGAAATTTATGTTAATAAATGGTTATCTATAAACTAAAAGCTTTTTTTTATTCAAATGTTAAATATACTGTATATGGATGTATTTTCTTGGATTGAAATATGTGAAAAGCTAAATATATTTGTATATGTTTGTTTTTTTTTTCAAAAATATTAGTTGAAAATACATTTGCATATAATTTGAAATATACTTCAGCAAATGTATTGTTTTAAATAATTTCTAAACATGTTTAAGTCAAACCAAGTCAAAGGTCAAAGTGCTTATGGCCGTTTAAATGTGCACGCCATATTGAAAGTTTATTCATATGCTTTTGTTTTTTCCCACTTTTATTTGATCATTTACACGTCATTGTTGTTACATTCTGGTGTTATTTTGTTAATCTATGATCTATTGCTACTTAAATTTATATTTTATGAGAATTTGTCATCGGTGTTACAACTATTGTTTTATTCGTGAAATAAAATAAGCAGAACAAAACAGCAAAAGTGAACTTGATATTTCATTTGCAACTTGGCAGTACGTCGGCAGAGGGCAGCAGCGCAGTAGTTTAAGTCATCAATGTTACAGTCTGGATGGATTTGAATCATCCAGTTAGGTTTTTTCTAATTAATGACTTAGACTGGAAGTCTAAAATGTCCCCATCAATGTGGTACTTTTCATTTGTGCATAATTTGATTCATCTTCAGTTTGCTAGCTTGGTGGGCTGAATGGTAAGTCGGTTTATTTGTGAGATTTATTAGATTCGTTTTCCACCTCGAGCCCTGTCCTGCGGGGGAATTGCAGTATTGTTTCCAGATGTGTTTCATTTCATGAACAGACCCCTCTGGTCCTCTCTCTCCATCCCTGCTCTTTTCCTCGGGAGGTTTCAGAAGGTTCATCAGAGGACCAACAACACATGAAACAAAGAACAAATTGTCTGTTCATGCACTTACGTGTGATAAGAAGATCTTGTGCTGGGCCTGATTTAGAACTCTTGCTTGTGATAAAACACACACACACGGCCTCCCTCTCTTTGCGCTCTGCGCTGTAAGTGTTGATATAATGAGTCCCTTTTGTAAGCCTATTAGCTTACAAACTTATATACAGTACAGATTCATTTCAAATTATTAAAAGCAGTCTTGAGACTGCATATTAATGTTACTGAGTGTTTATATTTACACACCTGACTGATCAACACATTCTCACTCCCAACTTGTCACATATTGACGCTATATTCAGAATCAGAATCAGAAAGAGCTTTATTGCCAAGTATGTTTGCACATACAAGGAATTTGTTATAGTGTCACAAGCTTCCAGTACACGGAGATGACAACAACACACAGATAATAAAAATAATATGTGAATAAAATACACATGCATAAATATAAACCACAAAAAATAGCTTACAAACTTATATACAGTACAGATTCATTTCAAATTATTAAAAGCAGTCTTGAGACTTGTTTATATTTACACACCTGACTGATCAACACATTCTCACTCCCAACTTGTCACATATTGACGCTATATTCAGAATCGGAATCAGAAAGAGCTTTATTGCCAAGTATGTTTGCACATACAAGGAATTTGTTATAGTGTCACAAGCTTCCAGTACACGGAGATGACAACAACACACAGATAATAAAAATAATATGTGAATAAAATACACATGCATAAATATAAACCACAAAAAAAAGAATAAATTGTATAGAATAAAATAAGTTGTAGGGATGTACTAGGGTTTAGGGTGATAAATAAGTATAAGGTTATTGCACATACTGTAGTTTAATTGCACAATGGGAGAACATTAACTGTTCATGAGGTAGATTGCCTGGGGAAAGAAACTGTTCTTGTGCCTGGCTGTCCTGGTATTCGGTGCTCTGTAACGCCGACCAGATGGCAAAAGTTCAAAAAGGAGATGGCTTGGATGTGATGGATCCAGAGTGATTTTCTGAGCCCTTTTCCTCACTCTGGATGTATACAGTTCTTGGAGGGTAGGCAGGGGGGCACCAATAATCCTTTCAGCAGTCCGAACCGTACTCTGTAGTCTTCTGATGTCTGATTTTGTAGCTGAACCAAACCAGACAGTTATTGAAGTGCACAGAACAGACTCGATGACGGCTGAGTAGAACTGCTTTAGCAGATATTGGGCCTTTTTATGAAATATAAACTCACTTTCAGTGAGAAATTCTCACTCTCACTTGTCTAAATTAACCTTCTTGCACTGGGTGGCCTTGCTGTGATTTTTATACAGGCTACTGATCAATTTTTTTGCAAAAACATTGGAGCAAAGCAGAAACGTGCTGCTACAGTTGGCATGAACTGAAAAATCACCCTGAAAGCATTTTCTAAATGCACATTTTTTTATCTTATTGTGAATAATCCATTCATTGACTAATTAGTTTTCATTGAAAGAATAGTTCACCCAAAAATTATCATCACCAGTGGACCCTCTGCAGTGAATGTGTGCCATCAGAGCTAGAGTTCAAACAGCTGATAAAAGCATGACTCCAGTCATCACTTAATGTCATTTGAAAAGCTGTTTGCTTCCATTGCTTCCAGCTAAAATACCAGTCCTCTATCCATACTATTGCTTTCTCCATTATTGTGGGTGGTTGAGTGGGAGGGGCAGAAGGAGAGAAGGAAGATTGTTAGAGAAAGACATGCATGTGAGGAGACAGGAGATGGGAAAGTGAAGGAAATTATGGGGAGAACAAGACTTGACAATTCATAACAATCATAGCCATATTAATTAGAAAATATCAACACCGTTCCAATATGTCCTCCCTATGATGTACATAAATTCAATACACAGGTTTGGAGTGGTAACATATTCCAATCAGACTGATATTTTAAGCCACTTGTTTGTTAATCTATCACAGCAGGGATGCTGTAAACTGAGCCAGTTGCTGCCTGTGTTGTCATTTGTTCCATATGCAGCAGTGATGCTGATATGAAGAGAACAGTCACAAATAGGAAGGATAAATCTGGATGAGTAACTGGGATGTGAGAGATGGGAACACTTAGTTGGATGAAAACAGGGAGTGAACGGGGAAAGAGAGAAAGAAGGAAAGAGGGTAGGATGATGACAGCCCCTGGCTCCGCTCCATTTCTGACGAAAGCTGCTTAGACCTTCAGTTGCCATGGTGACCAGAGGAGGAGAGAGAGGGAGAGGGAGGGCGGAGGATAGGGAGGGAGGAACAGCAGAGAGAGAGAAAGAGGGAGTGCTTAAAAAAGAGCAATAGACAGAGGGAGGGAACGAGAGTGGAGACGGAGATAAATACACATTGCTAGCAAAAACAGTCTACAAAAATATAAAGAGAAAAGGTATTTTATTTATTCTCATTAGAGTTGTATTTCATTAATCTGAGCGTGAGATTACAAAGAGAGGACGTGTGAAGGTAGACTGAGACGTCAAGACGAAGGTAAAGAGACACTGCAGTGGAGCGGGAATATGGATGCACAGTCTGAGAGCTGTGAACCACCGCCATGTGACCCTCAGCCTCCAGGTAAAATCAGAAAAGCCTTAAAACTATTCGGCAAGAGGAAGCCTGGGAGCAGCGTCGCTAGCATCTTCTCCATACGTGGGAAGGGAGATGGAGGCCCTAAGTCACCGCCGTCAATGAGCAAAACCCTGGATGGATTAAATGAACCTACTGCCCCAGAAGCAGAGGCAGAGCCGGTGGATCTTGACCAGGAGGATGAGAGTCAACAGGACGATGCTCCAATGGAGGAGTTCACAGGTGGGAACATGAATTCAGAAACTACTCCTACGCGGCACTCCATCTCTTCCCTCACCTCTGCTAAGTCTCTGAGCTTCCTCAATATGCTTCGCAAAGGCAGACGGGGACTGATGGGAGAACGGCAGACTCAGACCGAGTCTCAGAGGCCCGGGCGGCAACGGAAAGGCCTAAAGGGATTGTTTGGTACAGTGCGCTGGCATGGTAAAGAGAAAAAGGATGATGAGGAGGAGGGTGAACCTGGCCCTCCCCTTCTTGCTTCCCGCTCCAACAGCGTTGAGATTATAAAGGAGAGTCTCACACTGACACCCGGGCCTCCACCTCGCTCTGTGGAGGGAACAGAGGAAAAGCTTCCTACACCACAAGAGGGCCCTACGTCATCTGAGGACTCTGCAAAGGTGAGCGGGTCAACCAAACCTCCAGCAAATGAACGCTTGAGCACACTGCTTGGAGATATCTCATCAATTTTAAGCTTTGATTCACTAACAGCATGTGGAGATATTGTAGCAGACGTCGAGGCAGAATGGGTCAAAGCTAGCAGTCGAATGGAGGGAGCACCTAGAACATTGAAAGTGGATAATTCTGAGAAGACTTCATCTTCTTCGACTTCGACCAGATCAAAGTCTAGCCCTTCTCCTACTCTCAGCCCAACCACCTCCTTTAAACCTTCCCCTACTTTAGCAACCAAACCCACCCCTTCACCTACCACCACCAAACCTATTCCCAGCCCTTTGACAAAACCTACAGTTACCTCAACATCCTCTCCGGTGACCAAAATGTCACCATCTATGCTTACTGACCCTATTATCCCTACTCTAATGTCCAGCCCTCTCGCCAAACCCACCCCTACACCATCAGCTATAA